ATATTTAGAGTGCGTCGAAACATGTTTCGAGTTCTTCTAAACATGTTTTGAGGGCAACAAAACACGTTTAGAGTACATCCAAATACTGAGTGCATCTAAACAGACTTAGAGTGCATCAAAAGATGTTTAGAATTCGTTGAAACATATTTAGAGTGCGTCGAAACATGTTTAGAGTTCGTCTAAACATGTTTGGAGTGCATCAGGATCACACAGAAACCAAGCTGGTGGAGGGCTGGGACTCGCCCTCTGCAAGCGGTGAGACTCCTTTTCTTAAATAATAATATCATCAGTACAACAAACCAAACATGATCGTATGTTGGGATAAAAGGAGGGTGTTATCCTTTATTTCCAGATTCGCGGGGCTAATGGGAGGACACATATGGATAGAGAGCGGGGGGCTGGAGAAAGGATGCACGACTTCCTTCATCATCAGGCTCGGAGTATGCAACGCTCCTCCGACCAATTCACCCGCACTCCGCCTGGCCGTCAAATCTCAGAGCAGGCAGTTGAACTGGTGATCTGAGATATACAGAGACTTCTTTTACGAAACCTCCGTCTGGAAAAGACCTTATTTAACTACGTAACGGTACGGTGAGTAAGTGAGCTCATACGCAAATGAAACGGGAAGCACTCGGAACCTTGGGACTGGTAGTGTTTTTACGCAACTTATGGTTTTGTTGTTGTTGTAAATAACTAATCCGATTGACAGGACAAGGGTTGTATTGTCACCATGATTGGACAATCCGAATATTATACCTTAATAAGTGTTTTCAGGTGAATATAAGTTTACAACGATCGACCCGTTTACATACATTGTACAATACGCCAACAAAAGGGGCAAGGATAGGTTCACCATCCAATGAAGTCAAAGGGCTGCGACAGGATTTGAAACGTTTTAACGTAAAAGTTTATATATAACTAAACTGAGTTTTCAAGAAACACTCCACGAACAACTAAAACTTAGATTAGGAAGATCAACCAACGAAACAACAGCAAGACAAAAAAAATTAGGAAACAGCAGCAAAAAAAGGAGGGATATCAGGACACGAGAAACTCTCTTCACTTCTTGGACTTCTTCGATGGTCTGCAAATCCCAGGAACAACACAAGGTTTTTACAAACACAACTGAAATCCGTACAATCAATCTCAACTAACACCGGATTAAATGAACTTACTCTGTTGTTTGGGCAGCAGCTGCTTGAGCTGCAGCCATAGCCTTGTCTCCTGCTGGACCCTAATAGAAAACAAAGCAAAGCCATGCAATGTTAAAAGATGTTTTGCAAAGGAAGTTTGATCAATAGTCAAGGTACGGATGGTTTGGTCGGATCAGAGAAGGGGTGGCCGTACCATAGCAAGGCGCTCCTCCCGCCGGGCAATCTTCCTCTCTCTGCTAGCCTTGTTTTTCGCCCTCTTGGCCTCAAACTGGTCAGACAAGGTCTTCTCTGTTTAGAGTGCGTCCAAACACTTTTAGAGTGCATCCAAACATGTGTAGAGTGCATCGAAACTTTTTTAGAGTGTATCAAAACATGTTTAGAGTGCGTCCAAACAGACTTAGAGTGCATCAAAAGATGTTTAGAGT